GCGCTGAGCTACATCATGGCCCTGACCCGCATCCTGGCGGAGGCCGAGCGCTTCGGCTCGGAGCGGGACTGGGTGAATCTCCACTGCGAGCACTTCGGCCGCGACCCCTACCTCCCGTTTGCGGGCGCGAAGCTGCCGGGCGAGAGCGAGCCCTACGGCCAGAGGCTCTTCGGCTTCCCGCCCGAGCCCTTCCAGATGGCGAGTTAGGGCGCGCGGCCCCGCCGGTGCGGTCCGGGCATCTAGCCCCGGAGCCCGCCTCCCCTTTCCCGGTGTCTGCAGGGCCTTTCGGTGACCGAGGATGCATTCTTAGCATAAAGTTAGCAGACTTTCAGGTTACTTTAGTTTGCATCACTAGGCTATGGACACGAGGGTTTTATTGTCTTTCTTCCTACCCTTCTTATCAGTGTTTTGCAGATTTCATAGATGGATCTTGTGAATGGTTTTGATGGCTGTGAAAATAATTCCCCCTCTCCCTTTTTTGGTCTACGTCGAGGGAAAACAATCTTAAGGAAAACGTAGAAGTAACGGTATACTGCAGCTTTAGTCCTCAGAGAAATAATCACTTCCTTAAACTTTGTCAGTTTGTCCTGTTCGGGTGAAGTTACGGTATCCATTCCTCGTGTATGCTTAAAACACAGCTACCTTCCTATCGCGTGAATGCATTTTGCTTAGTGCATTGTGTGCGCATGCATGAAGTAGACTCCTTCCCCCCACCCCAGAGTACATGGCCGTGAATGTTCTGTATTTTTAAAAACTGTGTATACATTATTAAAATATAGATTTTGTAAAATATGGATAAAAACGTAGGTCTGTTTTTCGTGCCCTGCTGATTTCCTGATGGCACTAAAGGCCGAATTGGGGGTTAATGATATTGAGTGCTTTCCCTGAGCAAAGATGTGGAATATTTAAATCTAATCACACCAATGTTAAATGTGCTGTTTTGTAATACTTCCTAAAACAACAACAACAACAAAGCCGAGGCGAGTACACATAATTAATGTGAAAGCTTTCTCTGTAATCTTGAAAATAGAATGTATTTTTCATGTTTTTTAAATGATTAAATTAATTGAAATATTTAGCTTTAAGTAACTATTCAGTTCCTCAATATTTTATTTTCCTTATTAAGCAAATTACTATGAATTCCTTACAAATACCCCAATATATATACATTGTTCCTATGTTTGTTCATATATATATATATATATATATAATCACTGAGAGAAATTTAAAAAATGTTCTTTTTGGAGGTAATTTCCTTTTAATCAGCACAAGTTGAGCAATAAGAGCTTCACTACCATGAAGGCTAATCAAAATGGGAGCAAAAGAATACACATGGCATTTGTTTGAGTTACTTTTATAAATTTGTTTACCCCATTAGATGAATAAACCAAACCTTAATGTAAACAGTGACTTTGTGGTCAACAGCACAGAATGCATTTGGGAGAATGTCTTGCTAATAATTAGAATAAGTAGGATTCTTAAGTTACCTTTGGATCTTGTCACAAGTCAACAACAAAACGAGATCCCCCAAACCCTTGTTATGGATTCCAACGCCTAATGTCAGATACAACATCTATTTGCAAAGTATCTACAGAGAGTCTCCATTGAAATGTTTACTGTCTTAGTTATGCTAATTATCAAAACCCATTTGGTCTGTAAGGAATGTGTCTTCCTAGCACATAAATTTAAACTTACAGAATTATAAGTGTATCCCTAGAAATCCATTGTGAGACTAACGATAAATTTCCCTTCTGATATCTGGTAGGAAGGAACTGAAGAGGGTTGAGGACTTTGCTTCAGAACTGCAAATTAGAGAGTAAAATGTTTAACCTCAACGGCTCTTAGAAGACACTACTGCCCAACAGGCAGCACAGTTCTGGAAGTGAGAATGCCAGCACCCTTTTCTGGTCACACTCCACTCTCAGTGGACGAATGACAAGGCTCCGGGCATCTGCTGCCTCACTATGTGGGTACAGTAGCTTAATTATTTAGACTTAAGATCCTTCATCAATAACCCCAGTAAATTTGTAGAGTTTGAGAATGAATAAAAGCAGTGTAAAAAAACAAACAAAAATATTGTGTTCACATCCCTCTGCCAGGAGTGAATAAATACCTTGTAAAAGAGACCATTCTTTTCATTTTCTCTCTACAACTATAAACAATAAATAATTATTTTATGGATATTAAACAGCTGTTTCTTAATGAAATTGAACAATTTAAATTAAAATGATGGGATTCTAATCCAATGCCTCTCCTTCCCCCATTCCCACTATCCCAAAGGAATGGGAATGTGTCTGTTCAATATTATGCCTTCAGCTGCCTGTTTCTATGTTTTGGAAATCTTTGGAAGTAATTTAGCTCTTACCAAACCCCTAAGCTTTCCACCCAACTTGATGTACTATTTTTTTCCTGGAAGATATTTTAGGGAAATGTAAATGGAAGTCAGTGATCAACTCCAATCTTTGATAAAAACTCCTCAAACTATGTTGGCAAATCCATCATGGTTTATGGATTAGGAGCTTGGATAAAGAAAGTGTAAAATTTTTTTTGAAGTTGAGATATACATCGTAGATTTTAGGTTACCAAGCAACCTAAAAGTTGAAAATCCATGTTCTAATTTCAGGATATTGAAATTTAAAAAATATATATTTTACCTGGTCTTCCTTTTTTCAGCAAATCAACAAATAGTATCAAGCACCCATACCCAGGCTTACTCAAAACCATCCTTGTCCTTGGGTAGGCAGCCAAGAAGGACACACATGGATTAATCAATAAGCAGTCCTAAACAGAATATAGCTGAATGCTTCAACAGTGTTCGTATTACCATCGGTGCCAGATGAGCTCATAAGAGGGGACACCCTATATAATAAAAGGCTAATATGCAAATAGACCGAACAGAGGAACAACTGGACAACCGGTCGCTATAACATGTGCTGACCACCAGGGGGCACGTGCAGAACATGGCGGGCATTGGCAGCAGGCGGCAGAGTGTAGAACATGGCAGTTGTTGGCCGCGGTGGTGGGATGGTGGAGCAGGTGAGCGGGGACATCAGACCAAGGAGGGGTGCTGGTTGCTGTCATTGGAGTGAGCTCTGGTGGTTACTGAAAATTCTTTGCTCCTGCACACCGGGATCCCGCCTGGTGCTCGCACCCGCTGCTGGTGCCGTCAGTGCATGGGAGCGCCAGTGGAAATGGGGCTGCCAGCAGACAGGGGACTGGGGGCCGTGGTGGGAGGGGCTGGGCTGGGGCTCTCAGGATGGGCTGAGACCCCCCCCCCCCCCCGTGCCCACTGCAGCTTTGCGGCCCATAGTTCCTTTCACGTTGCACGAATTCGTGCTCTGGGCCCCTAGTTAAATAATAAGAGAACATTCCCCCCCTCACCTTTCTGGACAGGGTTTGTCAGTTGGACTAGTTACTGTAAGTGGGCTTGCCCTGGGTGCCAGCTGGAGGTTGAAGCCCTGAACCCTAGGGCCAGAAGTCTTGAAGAATCATATACAAATGAAGGGGGCTATCAAAATGGGAAAAGCCATGAAGGTCTGTGGTTCTCCACTCTGACAGCTCATTAGAATCACATCTCGGGAGTCTTGAAAAAATACCAAGCCTGGGGCCCCCAGCTGAAGAACTGATTTAATTGTTCTGAGGTAAGGTCTGGGCATAGATAGTTTTTAAATGCTCCCAGGTGATTTTAATGGGCTCAGGGTTGAGAACCGCTTAATTAAACAGTATCTACTGCGACACCATTAACCTCATTACCATTCTTTATATTTGTAAATGTTAAAAAGGATCCGGCTTTCTTAACAGCCAATGCAGCCAGTTCCTAAGTCAATGAGGCGCCCTTGATATTAATGAAGATCTAAAATTTCTGCTAGAGACCTAGCCGACTTGGCTCAGTGGATAGAGCATCAGCTGGTGGACTGAGGGGTCCCGGGTTCAATTCCGGCCAAGGCACATGCCTTGGTTGGGGGCTTGATCCCCAGTGGGGGGCATGGCGGAGGCAGCCGATTGATGATTCTCTCTCATCATTGATATTTCCATCTCCCTCTCCTTCTCCCTTCCTCTCTGAAATCAATAAATATATTTTTAAAAAATAAAATAAAATAAAATTTCTGCTAGATATGAGCCAGATAGCCTTTGTTTGGGTTGTGGTTAATAGAGCTGCAGGATTCAACAATTAAGACTCCGTTCACTTAAATTATACCATCTTACAGTAAAAGTGAAGTGCTGCCTAGCCTGTGTGGCTCAGTGGCTGAGCGTCTGAACTAAGAGGCCACGGTTTGATTCCCAGTCAGGGAACATGCCCGGGGTTGCAGGCTCAATCTCCAGTAGGGAATGTGTAGGAGGCAGCCAATAGATGCATCTCTCTCATTGATGTTTCTATCCCCCCCCCCCTAAAATCAGTAAAAACATATTAAAAAGAAAGTGAAGTGCTATTTTTGGACTGAATTTGGCTAGACTCTGCTGTATGTTTTCTTTGGGTGTCACTAAAGATATCTCTTTTTACTACTTAGGAGGTGAAAGAAATTTCAAAGTGCATATAAGACCATAAATATATGACCTATCTCCTCAGAATGTATATACCCGATTCTCTCTGGTCATGAATACACTAGGGCCGTGGTCGGCAAACTGCGGCTTTCGAGCCACATGCGGCTCTTTGGCCCCTTGAGTGTGGCTCTTCCTAAGCCTTAGGAGTACCCTAATTAAGTTAATAACAATGTACCTACCTATATAGTTTAAGTTTAAAAAAATTTGGCTCTCAAAAGAAATTTCAATCGTTGTACTGTTGATATTTGGCTCTGTTGACTAATGAGTTTGCCGACTACTGCACTAGTGGATACAAGCTTCAACAACCATTTTATTGATTTAACACAGGACGTTTGGTTTGCTATTTCATACTGGTAGTGTGTCCAAAAAATACCTGAGCTGAAAGAAAACCACTGACAACAAGAACTTACCCATCTTACATTCTAAGTCAGGGGACAAAAACAAAACAAATCCAACAATTAATTGAGAATAAATAACATTTTATTTAAGGAATAAAGAAACAGTCCATCACATCCTCTAAACTGCTTTTGAAAACATCCATTAAATAACTTTTTAAATTCTTAATTTTCCTTTTCTAGTTACAAAGTTCCCAAACAAAATACAACCCTCCACAAATCTTTGAGAAAGCATGACTAGAAAACAGCAACGGGAGTCATGGAGACGACGTGGTCTACTGGAATACAGTACCATGTATCTTCGGAACACAGACGCAGGTGATGCTCACAAACATTTTGGCTTAAGGGATCAGTTCCACAGACTGTCTGACATGCATGATGCAGAGGAACAGGAATAAAAGCCAAGATCCATTAATGGTTTTCTAGTAGTAAAGGCAAAATATGCAGTTTACGTAATTCACTGTGACTACTACATTTCAAAGTGACTACTCTAATGGTTTTTCCATCAGGATTTCAATAGCCAAAAAAGTACCTTAGAAAATAAGTTGACTCAAGCTTCCTAAGGTGGAAGCACACTGTGTTTGTGAGCTTTCTGGGGCCTTGGGTGTTTTCAAGTGGAAAGAACTCATGTAGGAAGAGAAAGGAGAAGTGTAAGAGGAGTCACTTGGTTCTGATTGGATTAGGTTAGCTATGGATGCTCCACGACTCCGGGTGTGTGTGTGTGTGTGTGTGTGTGTACATTCCTATGGCAGGAATACATCCTTTGTCAGTCCTCATGGCTGAAATGAATCATCGGGGTTAAATTCAGACCTGATGTAACTGTGAATGGGAAAACAGAGACCAAAATATATGCTCATTTTGAGGGTCCATATCAACCTGTTATTCTAACGTTGATTCATTTCACTGTAAGGCCACTGACATGCTAGCATGGAACATTTCTTCACTGGGGTCTGGAACTGCACGATGGCATTGTCTGAACTGCTTAAGCCACAAAGGAATACAGGAACGCCTTTGCTATTTCTCTGTGCACTGCCAAGTCATTTTTTTCCCCACTAGCTTCAATCATAGACACAAGAACCAGAGTTCCCTTTGGCTACTCTTGCCTGTGCCAAAATAAATTTCCCTGGAATCTGCCTGCAGTAAGCAGTTAGGTTATTTCTTGAATTAATTTTTTTCCAGGTATTTTTTTTAACTGTATACCATCTGGAGGAAGATTTTGCCATTGTGTATTATCCTTTTAAGAAAAAATAGTGAGGCAGGAAGGAAATGTGAACTTTTAAAAAACAAATTAACTACTTACTTGGAAAAATATTTTTAGCATTTCCCTTGGAATAAAAAAAACCCTGCTACTACTTTTTTTAAGGGTCTTTAAAATAAGCTCTTCATAAATATTCGTTTATCCTATCCTCCATCCTGGGAAAGATTCAAGTATTATGCTTATTTTATAGATAAAGAAACAGAGACCCCAGAGTTATAGGAAATTGGAAAACATGTCTGAAATTCATAGGAATTACTAAAACCCTAATGCTATTAAATATTTTACAGATTTTTATCTTGACAGGGAGGTAATGAAGAGAGAAGGGTCTACCAAGAAACTTAGTGCTAAGGATTGAAAAAAGAAAGTGAAAATCAGAAAAGAAGATAAGGTATCTCTGAAATCAAAATACTGAAAAATAATATTTAATTTATCAATGTGCATTAAAAATATAGTTGCATTCAAATTATGTCATTTGAATTGCAGGGTTTTAACTCTCCTTAAAATCAGAGTAAAACCATTTATACTGTGCACTCATACAAATTTAGTAATCTTGTGTGTAACTGACTATGGTAATGACTTCTATAGTCAATACTAGTATATAGATCTCTGGATTCTTAAACCACTAACTGTGGGACAATGACAAGAACCTGCCTCTAGTTTGCAGATAACTCACTGAATCTGTGAAGAAATATCAGATTCCTTGGAATTTTGGATCATCGAGCAATTCCCTTTTACCATATAAAAATAATTCATGTTTCTTGTGGGTATTAGAGCACCTCATATTGTGACAAAACTGTATTTGTGTCTCCATTAATTTCCAATGTAAACTGGTCTCAAAAGTCTCACTTTTTAAAGTGTCTCTGTTTTCAGTTAGGAAGCAGAATAAATTTTAATCTTAGATTGCTAAAGGACATTCACTGAGAAGTCTATTGAATCTACTGGATATTTTAGGAAGACCAAAACCCAGTTATCTTTCTGTTGCTCTAGAGATATTTAAGTAGTTTATAATTTATGTAGTAATTTATACAATTTTAAATATAATTTTTAAAAATCCTTTTTAAAGTCTCAAATATTTTTGTACAGTAAAAAATCTATTATAATCAAAAAGTAATTTTTAAACTTGAACCATAGAACTGTTTCCTGCATTTTAAAGGAAAATGTACATTTATTTCAATTCAGCCTTAAAATATTTTCAAGTAATGTTAAAATATTTTAATTATTATTATTAGGGAAACATTTTCTATTCATTTATATGTTAAATCTTCTGGCAAATTAGTGTTTATGCGCCTCTATAGTACAGATGACATTTCCTTTGTGCTTACCTTTATGGCACAATTCTCAGAGGATTGAAAAGTGTATTCTTTCTCTACTTCTTGCAATTTCCAAGGCTATTATTGCTCTTTGGAGTTTGATGTGGCCATTGTGTACATATTAACAAAAGGCAGTGTGGTGATGGTTCTATTATACCAAGTAGGCTAACTAATATATAATTAGACAGAATAAGAAGCAAACATATTTTTAAACAAATATGCACATTTTTGCACCGCACAGATTTTTGAAAACATAGTATTAGCAACTTTCTTTTAGCATGTTGATGACCACTGCATTGTCAAAGTTTAGAAGCTGCTTGGCATTCTTCAAGCAAAGCTTTAGTAATGAACTTTCTGAAATATTGATCCACTGAAGAAAAAACAATTAGTGGTGTAAAGGACTTCAACAAACTCTACTGCGATCTAAGTAACTGTACATCTTACTGGTAAGGCACAATGATTTTCAACTCAACCATCATCAGAAATACTTTGAGGCCAGGTTAACCAAGGACCCTATAAGGGACCGTGAATAAAAGTCATTATAAGTAACTTTGTCTTTAAGTTAACGACCAACTTAGAGTCCACATACAAACCGAGTCAGGCCAGGATCTCAGCTTGGAAGGTACTTTGAGAGTGTGGGTAGGGGGAGGTCCGGAGGAGGCTGTGATCAACAAGGACAATATGGGTGCCTGACCCAGTCAGTTTCCTAGAACCTCCCCTCACAGCCTGTTTAGTTTAGTTTTGTTTTTTTGTACTTTGTCAGTAATTCTATCAATTAGTTGCTGATGGGAGTAAGAAAGCAACTGCTTTTAGAAATGCAGCACCTTTGAGAAGTTAAAGGACTCTCAGGCATTCAGAATTTGTTCAATTGGACTGCTCTCTCTGAACATCAAGCCAAGATGTGTGGAACTGGAATAGGTCATTTTGGATCATGAAGCACGCTGACATGCTGACAGGGACGGGGTGAGATGGGAAGGGTTAGAGCAGGGGGTTATAGAACATGGGATACGGGGCATCTGAGGATGGGGATAAATACAGAAGGACCATAGACATTCTTTAGCTTTGACACATCATAGACACAAAAAAGGGAGGAGGACGTCTTTCTTCTCCTCTTATTGGCTGTGTTACCTGGATCCCTATTGTTGGATCATCACCCAATCAGGCGTAGTAGATTTTGTAACTCAATCATGAGTTAAATGGGAGTTACTGGGTTCACTTGGGAATATAGTACTGGGTGATATGTGTGTAAGAAAATTTGTTCTGAGTTTTAAACAACCAATTCACAAGTGAACATTTAGAAGGCAGCCCATGTATCATTTGAGGATTTTCCAAGTTAACCCATCCTTACAAAAGTCAGCTTTTGATTCCTCTGGGAGTTACTCTCCATGGCATGTGTGATTCAGAGCCATAGCGCTACCACGTTTAGTCTCTTGACCATTTAATTTCTCATTGGCTGCCAACAAAAGTTAAGAAAGGAATAAAAAGAGAAGAATGCACTGAAACCAGTTCCACTATTTGGCAATTCTAATTAAAACCTTACTTTGGTGAAGGGCACTATGTTTCAAAAAGACGGTGTGGTTTTAATGGCCCATTTTCTTTCTCCACTTTCTCACCAATCTCCATTTCTATGACTGCATTATAAAAAGCCCTTTGGTTCTTTGGAGAGAAAGGTGCTTATGGGCTCAGCACAGCTTTTTGAAACAAAGGGCTAGATGAATTGCACCAACTTTCGCTGGTCCATTTTTGCATGTTTTTGAGGTTCTTCTGAGGTTTCATGAATGACACATGTCTAATGAACATTGGACAAAACAGTAGGGTCTAATGAGGCCAAAGTGCATGTTTATTTCTACTTTCCAGGCAGGCACTGCATGGGCAACAAGGGGGAGTACGTTCTTCACCGATGCCAACCAGACGGCTTTATACCATCTGCATCCCTTTGGACCTTTCTGGATAAGTTCTGAAGTGACTTTTCTGAACCTTTGCTTTTTATTGGAATCACCTGGGATGTTTTAAAAATACTGATGCCCCCAAACAAAGAATTATCCAGTCCAAAATGTCAATAATGCTGACCTTGAGAAACCCTGCTTTACCATCATCCAATAGCTCAATTTCAAATTTGGGGGGGCTTTTATATTTTAGGTTAGATAGTGCCATCTAATGGCCAAATATAATATTTGTCCCAGTTCTCAAACACCAAAAGGCAACAGATTTAAAAAAGTATTCAGAAAGCTAGGACAAATAGAGATGAAAAATCTCCTTCCATGGGAGAATTGTCTAGGGTTTACACAAATGTGATGGTCGGGGGGTGCTGGGTGCACAACTGTGAAGGAGCAATCCTGGAGTTAGAAAGTTCTCTTTGGTTATAGGAGATTTCATAATAGAAGCCAGTAGGGAAATAGAACATCCTGCAGGATGCATTCTACATGAAATACATGCTATTTTATTACAGTTGCCCACATTGTTAGCATTGTTCCTGAATACATGAAAAAGGAAACAAAATCTAATAATTCTGCTAAATAATTGACCGAAACCTTGATTTTAGAGTCATGAAAAATATAGGATGAAGAGAACAAGAAACTTCTATTCAATAAAGAATATATATATATAGCCCCAAGAAGCAGCACTCTACATGCCTTATATCTTACCTACTCTACTAGACTGTAAGCTCCTTGAGGCCAGGAACTGTGTCCTATTCATATCTCTGTATCTCTCACAGTCTCCAGCACAGCATCTTATATATACACAAATGACTTTTTGAGTGAATGAATTTATTTTTATACTGAAAATCCTTGCCTTGAAGTGAAGAAAATGTCAAGTCTTTCTAAGCAATTACTATTTGTTCACTTGAGTAATTTGCCTGCTGAGGGTGCCCAGCTCAGGGAACACCAGAGACTTGGGCACAGGGGATTGGTAACAGATGCTTCCGGTTCATATAGCTGGGGAACAAACTGTGCTGTGATGAGCAGTCCCAGGGCAATTTTTGGGCTGGTGTGTGAATGGTAGATTTCTCTATCTAATGTAAGATTCATTCACCCAAAAAATATCTGTTGACTGTCTACTTGTGCTAAGCACTCATCTAGGCACTGGGGATATTGCAGTGAACTTGTCTAAAACTCCCTTAAGTTGAAAGGCGGGGTTTGAATTGGGTTAGAATACAGAGGCAAATTCCCCTTCCCTTCTACTTTCCCAGTTAGCGTACTATTTTATATATAGAAAATGCAATTTGGTTAATGACCTCTCCTTTCACACCCACTGCTCTGCAGGGGCAAGTGAAAAACACTCTCCCATCACTTCCTTCCCTTGTTTGCATCTCTTTCTTCCTCACTCCCTCATACACTTCCAGACTTTTGGGGAGAGGGAAGGAGTTGGGAGTGTCAGTATATTTATGGGCAGACAAAGGTGACTCTTGGATAGTTTGCAAGTGGCCATGGAAGCTAGTAGTTTAAAAAGTGTCCCCATAGAATATTTCTTACTGGCTGGTTTATTAGCAACCCCATAGTTCTAGAGCAGCGGTTCTCAACCTGTGGGTCACGACCCCTTTGGCAGTCGAACGACCCTTTCACAGGGGTCGCCTAAGACCGTCCTGCATATCAGATATTTACATGACGATTCATAACAGTAGCAACATTACAGTTATGAAGTAGCAACAAAAATAATTTTATGGTTGGGTCACAACATGAGGAACTGTATTTAAAGGGCCAGAAGGTTGAGAACCACTGTTCTAGAGTCTAGGGATATATAAATTCCACTCACCATTGTATCCAAAAGAAAATGGTGCGGACAGGTGGGTGGAGCCCTGTTTTGGCTATAGAATAAGTGCACTTGTGCAATATCGAGTGTCTCAGTGATTTTGTATCTCAAGCACATTTTGGCACCTTATTTTGTGGCTCAGTACACCCAGGATAAGCAAAAATGCTTCTCCACATGTGTGAGTCGCATGGCATGGTCTCCTAATGCTAAGTAGAAGCTGCCTTGATGAAGCCACCGAGACTAAAGCTAGCTATGGATGTAATCAATGAAAGGTGATGGAGGCCTCCCATCTTTTTCCTTTTTATTATTTGGTGAGTCAGTGATACCTAAGGTCACTACTGTTGAACTCTTCTCAGCCCAAGCATATAATATGGCCCCTAATTGCTCCTAGTAGGGTCTAAACATCCCTAACCCAGCATGGGGCAGGGGAGCATGCTAGCTTTCCCCCAAAGCAGTGGGTGGCAGCGGCATGACATCTTTGGTTCATCTGTTCTTGTCTTCTCACATTTTTGTTGGAATCTTTAAAAGGCACAGCCCCAGCGGAGACTGCAAGAGTCCGCAGTGGATTTACACAAAGCGCTCCTTGCCACAGGCCCAGCAGTGTGGGGACTTACTCAGATCCAGTTGTTTGGGAAACACTGGTTCTGGCTTACCCTCCTTCCCTCTCCACAGTCTGCCCCCGTACACAGCAGGCACCCAGACCTCCTTAAAGTTCATCGCTCTCCACCACACTCCGAGAAGAGCACGAATACACCATTGTGCTTTCCATGGAGGAGAAGGCAGAGAAAATGTCAAGTCCTTTACTGGTGAGAGATCCATAGCGGCTGCCACTGGGCCGGATGGACATGGGCGGTGGGATCTGCTGGTGCCACTGAGCTGGAAAATGAACAGAATAACATGCTGCAATCAGAGGAGTACACTGCAGGTGTGCATTCTGTTGCCACTCCAACACTTTCTGTGGGGTCTGGGTAAAGCTTTAACATATATCTGGGTCTGCAATAACTCATTTGTAAAAGAAAACAATGAAATCTCTCCTTCCCTGCCAGGAGTAGGGAAACTGGGCTAGTGATCTCTTAAACCCCTAATTGCAAAGCCGGTGATTCTAATCCAGTAAGATTGAGGACTATAAGAAGGAAGAGTGGGCGCCTAGGTGATTTATCAAAATTACCCCCTCTCACCGAAGCGTGGGGCCTGCGAGGGGCAGTGTAGAGAGGGCTGTAGGCTCTCAGAAGGTGGAGACAAGAAACCTGTGGAAATGGAAGCCAAAAGATGGGTCCCGACCTCTGAGAAGGACCCACCCCACGCTCTCATCACCCTAATCAGCCATGAGTTATAGCAGGAAGGCTGGCCCATGGCTTGAACGAACTATCCATCCAAACTGCCCAGTCTCTACCGTCGTCTCTGATCCAGAAACTGCCACGCAGTCTTCTGATTAGGTTTCCAGAGGCTTTGATGAGGAGAAGGGGGAGTATCAGGTGAGGAATCATGAGGCTCTGGGTTCTAGAAAGGTACCCAGCATCCCCATTTATAAATTGGTCCTTTGTTCATTTCATTGTTTTAAATCAGTCTTTCAGAGTTTAAATACTTCTGAGTGAATGAATAAGATCAAACTTCGGAAGCTACAAAGCCCAGGACAAAACTTACAGCGATTCCACTGAAGCGCCAGCGCTTGGGAGGCCATAGTGAAGAGCTAGTCAAGCCTCTCCCCCAGCCCGCCATCCCTTAGCCCCCCCTGCTGTCTCTGACATTGTACCGGACTCCTATAATTGCTACTAGAAGCGAGAGAGAGAGAGAAGAGAGAGAGAGAGAGAGAGAGAGAGAGAGAGAGAGAGAGAGAGAGAGAGAGAAGAGCCTACCCCCCCATTCCTCAGACAGGCAGGAAGTGGGGTGAGGGACATAGGAGATTGATTTCAGCTCAAGTCCGTCATCCCCTCCTCCACCCACAAGTCCCAACTAAGGACATAGCGCCTCCTATTGGTGCTGTAGAATCAGCACAGGAACAAGGAAGAGGTGAGCCAGGACAAACTGAACTGGGAACTCCGCCACTGAGGGCAGGGTCGGGGTGAGTCATCAGTTTCAGGGTTTATTGGTATTGAGTTGGAGACCTAGTTCCTTCAGACAGGTGAAACTTGTGAAATGGTTAAGGAACTTAGCCTAGATAAGCAAACATGTCGCTGTCCTCTCTCCACTGACTTTCCCTGGGGAAAGTACAGTAGAGTCAGCTTCTTTCAGAGTTGAGTTTCTTTTCGAGCCTAAGAATAAGGGAAAATAATCAGAAATCTATATATTCCTCTAAATATTAGACCTAGGGAAATGGCAGGCCAAGTCTCCTCCTGTATGGCACTAAAAAAAGGGGGGGGGGTACCTGGTGTACACCTATGAATAAATAGCAGGGACCTCAGGGTCTAGACAATTACTTTTTGTTGTTGTTGTTAATCCTCACCCAAGGATATTTTTTCCATTGACATACAGAGAGAGTGGAAGGAAGGAAGGGCAGGAAATAAAGAGAAAGACTGAGAGAGAGACACATCAATGTGAGACACATCAATTGGTTGCCTCCCACACACACCCTGACCAAGGCCAGGGTTGAACCTGCAACCCAAGTACATGCCCTTGACCAGGAATCGAAGCCTTGACCCCCCCACTCTAACCACTGAGCACCACCGGCCGGGGGGGGAGATTTTAAAAGTTGCCTATTACATACAGATGTTCAACCGATGCCAGTACACCTACCATATATATCCAGCCTAGCAGTGCAGGACACGATTCCGGCTTCGTTCTTTGCTGATAGTGTGTACCATCCGGCGTCTGATTTCTTGGCTGGCTGAATGAGGAGGCAGACATACCCCGTCGTGTCCTGGTGCATACTGGAGAAAAGAAAGAATATATCCATATTGTATCTGGGGGCAGAAACGGCTTGTCAAGGCTTGGGCTCAGGGAAACTCTGGGGACAAATGCAGTGGTGCGGTGTTCCTAGGTGGAGGAAAGGGGAACTCGGCTTCAAGCAAACATCAAAGGCGAACGTGAGGTAGAAAGAAGTCACAAAAGAGCCACAGTTGACCTAGTGAGGCTGGGATGAAGGCTGAGACCGGTCTTGCTCTCCCGTTGCTCTGACTCCCCACCGGCGCAGCCCCACTTGTCACAGCCAAAGTCCAGAAAAACCTCTTTTCCAAACCAGGTTGGACATTTCTAACACTAACTTTGTTAGGAAGTGATGGGAAAGCTTGGTCCCGAGCCCAGAGGAACTGTTAGCGTGGAGGGAGTATTTCTTAATGCAACCAACTGGGCATGTGCAGCATTTAGCTCAATACAGTTCAGGAGCAAACAGCATGTTCTTCCTTCTGTTTCCTCCCACTTGCCTCAAGACTGCAATCCCGGATACTTCCACCAGGATTTCAGGCTGGCTTGAACCTGTTGCCTTCATTTAGACCAGTGGCTCCCAACGTGGGGCACACGCCCCACAGGGGGGCAATTTGATTTCTAAGGGGGGCAATTCGAGAATGAGTTATTAACAGTGAAATTTTTGCATTTCTTATGGTTCTAGGGGCCTCGTACAGAGTATATAAATATATATTGTGACATATTTGTGCATTTCAGTTCTCTATTATATGTTTTGAAACTTTATTTGCTATTTTTCATATCACTTCATATTCTTATTTTTTTTTTTTAACAAATTCTTAGTGATTTCTTCCTCAGAACTTCAACTGTTCTTTCGTTCTTCTATTTTTCTCTTTCATGGCTGCCATGTTCTTTGGAAGCTTGTCAGACCAAGGTAATGGCCTTTTAGGCTTCCTCCACATGAATAGCTGTTCACTTTTTGAATAATAAGAATTATATGTCACAGAGGAGGGGGACATCAGGATTTTAGAGATGCTTAGGTGAGGCATGGCCAAAAAAAAGGTTGGGAACCACTGATTTAGGCTGAAGTGTGAACTTGAGATTATTCTCAGTTCTTGCTTAAGTTTTACCAGAGAAAAATCCTGACCTATATAAAATCATAGACTTCTCGGATGCCCAAATTCTTTAAAACCTGACAGCTACAACAGTCTCTGGCACAAATTCCCTTTACTGTGAAGAAATAATTCTCAGTAGGAATTTCTGTACACTAGCTGCCTTTGTTTGCTTGCCCCCTTGTGGCATAAAACCAAAATGGCAAAGAAATAAAGTTGGTTAGGGGAAATCAAGCAAGGCACCCACTGTAAGGAACTTGATCCTTAAAGTTACTTTAAAAACAAGCATGTGGTGATGGATAGAGAAGTTGTTTAACTGCCTTAATGTTTTGTTTTGCTTTATTTTATTTTAGCTTATTATCATCACAGAGGTTTTCTGGGTACTAATATGACTAAAGACACATGACAGAAACTATGCTTAGTCTTCATAAATTCCTTATTCATTTTTGTTTGTAATTTTTAAAATTTTTGTGTTTGTTGTTAATTGAGAGTGGAAGGGAGAGGGGGAGACAGAGAGAGAAATATCGATGTGAGAGAGACACATAAACTGGTTGCCTTCCACATGCGCCCCAACCAGGGCTGAGGATCAACCCTGCAACCAAGGTACCTGCCCTTGACCAGAACCAAACCAAGACCCTGCAGACCCTGGGCCGATGCCCTATCCACTGAGCCAAACTGGCTAGGGCCATTTGTAATTTTTAAAATCTTCACCTAAGAATATGTTTTATTGATTTCAGAGAGAGAAGAAGGGAGGGGAGAGGGAGAGAGAAATATTTTTTTTTTTTTTTTTTTTTTAAATATATTTTATTGATTTTTTACAGAGAGGAAGGGAGAGAGATAGAGAGCTAGAAACATCGATGAGAGAGAAACATCGACCAGCCGCCTCCTGCACATCCCCCACCGGGGATGTGCCCGCAACCCAGGTACATGCCCTTGACCGGAATCGAACCTGGGACCTCTCAGTCCGCAGGCCGACGCTCTATCCACTGAGCCAAACCGGTTTCGGCGAGAGAGAAATATTGATGTGAGAGAGAAACATCGATTCATTTCCTCCCATGTGTGCACCAAACCTGCAACCTAGGTATGTACCATGCCCGGGAATTGAACCTGCAACCTTTCGGTGCACAGGAAGATACTCTAACCAACTGAGCCACCCAGCCAGGGCTGCTTTTAATTTTTATAGGAGTTTATTTGAGCCAAACTGACGACATATGGGAAGCAAGATCTCAAGTGCTCCTCCTTATACATTTTTTTTCTGTATATATTTTATTGTTGATAGTATTGCAGATGTCTCCTGTTTACCCCCCTTTACACCCGTCCTCCCACTTCCTCCCCCCTCCCATGTTTTCACAGTTTAAAATGGTGGGACGTTCATACAATAGACTACCCCCCAGCAACAACGCGGAATAAATTCTTGATATGCACAATAACATGGACTAAACTCAAATGCATTAATCTCAGCAAAAGAAGCCAGATTCAAAAGGCTACAGATGGATTTGGGTGTCCCTTTGCATGTGGGGTCCATACCTAATTCTCTCTCTGGTGCAAGGAATGGTCTCATTGTCCTTCTTCCAGTAGAACACGGGCGGCGGCATGCCTATCACCCGGCACTCCAGCCGCACCAGGTGGCCCTCGGGAACCCCGCTGTTCTGCAGTTTCTCCAGGATCACAGGTGCTTTCTTCACCTCTTTGGCTGAACAAGAGAAGGACCATTCTTGGTTAAATAGTAAGTGCCTGGGGGTTCATTTCTCAAACTCATTACAGTTCTGGAATTTAGCAGAGTGGATCCCCCACCCCCTTAGCTCCTCTTCAGAGCACTTCTCACTCCTCCAAGTGGGAGTCACTGCCTTGACAAAAGCTCCAGAAAGGATTAAAAAAGAAATGAGGAAACTGTCTCTGCACATTCTATAAGAGGCAACACTCAAGGGTCTGGATCGCACACAGAGGATGCAACTGGTAGGTGTGCAATTTTTTGCTCAGCAGTAAAATTTGAGAAACAATATATTTTATGTACTGCACATATCCTTTTTATTTTTGAGGCTTTGTATTGCTCTTTAATTATTTTTTTATCCTTTTTCTTATTTATAGGAGTTTGTTTTGTAAAAGATACGTTAATTTTCCTGAACTTTTTATTTGGAAGAAGTTTACAGCTATAAAAAAGTTGAAAGAAGTATATACTATTTTTAAAAAATACACAAATTATACTTCCCAAGGAGGTTTTGGGGGGGCGGGCAGAATCAACTAAGACAAATATACCACAGATCTTGGGGTTCCAGAGTCACTATTTAAGCAAAAGAGTGGGGAAAAGAAAAAGTTGGCAATCAATATATCATTGCAGAATAAACTTGTTCTACTCTGTCGGTAAGAAGAAATCATGAGTGAGAGAAAGGAAAAGATATGTGGGGGAACCAGCCACTGGCTTGGAGAGAGGATTAGCATGCTGAAGACACCCCGATTTCCTATAGGGGCCACACCTGGGGGAAAGCCCAGCACTCAAACTTATATGTTCTGAAATTGAATTCTGGCTGGACTACTACCCCGAAGGGCTGGTGCCACATAGGTGACAATGACTTGTCCTTTTTGGCAGGCATTCATTTTGTTCACATCATCTTATAAGGCAGAAGTTCATTGCCTAGTTATGGACTCGACATTTGTTGGGCACCTTCCGTGCTGCAGGCAGAGTCAGACACCCGAGATCCACAGAACAGATCAGAATCTCTGACCTTAGGAGCTCCTAGTCGCTTTCGGGGCATAGGAGTACACTGCTACAGAGTAAGTGCTCTGAGAGTGTCTCCTTGCCTAAGTACTATGGAAACAGAGGAGACTGTCCCTAGTGGGTCCTCTGTGCCTTGGTAGTGACATTTTAATTAAGCCTGAGGGCAGTGGTTCTCAACCTTCTGGCCCTTTAAATACAATTCCTCATGTTGTGATTCAACCATAAAATTATTTTCGTTGCAACTTCATAACTGTAATGTTGCTACTTTATGAATCATAATGTAAATATCTGATATGCAGGATGGTCTTAGGTGACCCCTGTGAAAGGGTCGTTCGACTGCCTAAGGGGTCTCGACCTTAGGGAACCGCTGCCTTAGGGAATGAGTAAGAGGTTGCTAGGCAGAGAAGGGCAGGTAAAGGTATGAAAGCTTAGAGAGTGGGGTGAGGAGGAGCCTTGTGTGTTCCGGGAGTGATGAACTGTAGGATAAGTGACTTGAATTTAGTAATGCTCAGTTAATTAATTGGATAATTAATTAATTAATTAATTAACTATTAAAATGACTCTTGTTTATTGCATGCATAATAGGCACACGGAACCCTATTATATTTTTAGCTTACTGACATTTCTTTGAAAGCAATGTACAAAATATGGCCCCTATTACAGTGAAGAAGAAACTGAGATTAGACTTGGTGGGGAAAAGGACTGAAGAACTCTGTCAGAGGCTCTGTATATTTGGGCAATGACGTTGGAAGGAGTCACGTTTAAGGGTCCCAGCAGCAAACCTTACCTACTACAGTGAGCTCCAGACTGAAGGAATTCTGTCCGGTTTTGTTGGTAGCAACACATGTGTAGGTCCCCGCATCACGTTGAGTGAGAGGGTCAATGAGCAGAGAGTGGACTCCAGTCTCCCTGACCAGCATCTTGTGGGAGGCGTCTGGTAGCACAGGTTGGCCATTGAGCAGCCACGTCAGCTCTGGGGGTGGTAAGCCACTCACCTGAAAAAAACAGGACAGCTGAGGCAAATGAGAGACTGGGGACAGGCAGATTGATTTGGCTGAATTCTTCATCCTTATCTGGCATCAAATAGTGAGAGAAAACATGGAGTAGTGAAGAGACATTGGGATCTGGATGGATGGCCACATGAATTTAAATTGTATAGTATTTCAGGTCATAATCTCTATCTCTATATATAAAAGCCTAAGTGACTGGCCAACCAGCAGACCCACTGATTGCTATGATGCGCAATGACCACCAGGGGGCAGATGCTCAACATAGGAGCTACCAAATGACAGCAACTTTGCAGAGTGTCCTTTCGCACTCTGGGATCCCTTGGGGGATGTCCGACTGCCAGTTTCAGCCTGATCCCTGCAGGCCAGGCCAAGGGACCCCACCAGTGCATGAATCCGTGCACCGGGCCTCTAGTTATAGCATAAATAAGAATGAAGAAGCTAAATAGATAAAGCAGGCCTGCAGTGTCAGTTTCAGAGAGGACACCTTGCTCAGATACCTACTAAGTGAGAGGAGCCAAGTGAAAGGCAGACATTAAACCAGTGTTCCCAAACCTTACTGTGTATTATAATCACATGGGGAGCATTTGAAAATGCTGATGCCCACTATTTAACACAGTAATGTTAAATCAGACTCTCTGGGGATAGGACCCAGGCATGGGTATCTGTTCAGGTTTAGGGTGAAAGAAGTAATAGCCAATCCCAAATATTCTTTAGGCCTTCATTGGGAGAGCAAGAATCACCAAGAGAAATGGACTTTATGAATGCTTACCCACAAGCCTTTACTAATTTGCATATTAATTTTCCATCGTACTCAGCATCTTTGTAGAGGCAGACGGGTGATTAAGTTTCTCTTCATACTGAGAGATATCCAGGCTGCCTAAGTGAACCTTGTCTCTGATCACAGAATTAGAATGTGGAATAGCTACAGGTGATGAATGTTGACTAGCAAGAGAAACTAGCGTCTATTTTCATAATTGCCTTGGAGCCATCTTTTCATGATTATAATTTTTATTTTTTAAATATATTTTTATTGATTTCAGAGAGGAAAGGAGGAGGAGGAGGAGGAGGAGGAGGAGGAGGAGGAGGAGGAGGAGATAAACATCAATGAGGAGAGAGAATCATTGATTGGCTGCCTCCTGTATGCCCCACACTGGGGATTGAGCCTGCAACCGGGGCATGTGACCTGACCGAGAATCAAACTGTGACCTCTTGGTTTATAGGTCGACATTCAACCACTGAGCCATGCTGGTCAGGCCATGCTTATAATTTTTAAAAGGCTCTATCTCACAGCAATTTGCTCCAAGGATGGAAAAGTCACACTTTTGGCTTCATAGTAATAAAGACTTTCCAGGCACCACAAGGAAAATGGAATTATAACACCTCTTTGGTTGTCTTTTACAAACACAGCATTAACTCGATACGATACCATTATGAAGATATAACAATTTAAGCCCTAGTCAGTTTGGTTCAGTGGATAGAGTGTCAGCCTGCGAACTGAAGGGTCCCAGTTCGATTCCAGTCAATGACATTACCTGGGTTGCAGGTTTCTCAGCCCAGACCCTGTTTGGGGCTCATGTAGGAAGCAACCAACTGATGTGTTTCTCTCACATTGATATTTCTCTCTGTCTTTCCCTCTTTCTTCCACTCTTTAAAAATCAATGGAAAAATATCCTCAAGTGAAGCTTTAAAAAAAAGATATAACAATTTAAAAATTTCATGAAATACTTTTGTCTGGTATTAAACACTGAGCATTGTGGGTGGGTGGGGGGAAGTGATCTCTCTCCCTTCCCTAGTCCCCTCTTCCTTGAAAAAAACCAACCAACAAACAAAAAACACCACACAAAATAAACACAAACAAAAATAAGTACAAACAAGCAAACAATTGCAAAATGTGAACCGATCCGGAACCAGGGACGGGTACTAGGGTCTACCTTACAGTCGAGCCGACAGAGGCGCCCCTCATGAGCTACCATATCCCCAGGAGCCTGCAGGAAATGTGGCCGGAAAAAGCGTTCCTGTAGGGGCTCCTTGTCTCTTTCTTGCACTCGGGACCTTCCTCTATAACAACAAAGGTATTCAGGCATTAAATACAGAAACCAGTTTACAAATTGATGACAGTGGGCATGCAGGCATGACTATAGGACCTGGAGAACACTTTTTTTTTTTTTTTTGCAGGGCGGTGAGGGAGGAAAAGGGTGTTGCTGGACCATAAACAAATAATAAATATAAATAGTGGTGTGACGCTCACGTAAAAAAACAACGTGGTAAGTATCTCATACACTGTAGGATTATCTTGTAAGATCTGTAATCAAATAAACAGGCTTTAGCTTCTTTCTCTCTGAAGTCATTCTGGGTTAAGTCGCTCAGCTCTTCTTGGGTTTGGCCAGTTGTTCAAAAGTCTCAAAATAAACAAATATATCAGTATTCAAGAGATGAGATTTGGATGAGATCCAAAAGAGAAGTCCTGTTTATTGCCCAGAACAAGGCAGCTGCAATCCCTGTGTCTCTGAGTAATAAAATTTGACCTGCCTATAAATTATGGCAGACCATTAAAGATTATCATGAACTTACTGGTTCAGACTGACCAACAGTAACAGCTGTTCTTTAAGAAGAAGAAGAAGAAGAAGGAGGAGGAGGAGGAGGAGGAGGAGGAGGAGGAGGGGGAGGGATAGGGCAATGATGGTGAAATACTGTATTTGAAACATGAGTCACTATTTTTGTTTCTTTGGTAAGTCACATTTAATTCATCCATGTCAGCAACTATGGAATGCTTTGCTAATATTTTATGGTCTCTGTAAGACTCGAGGAAAAGCCATGCTTCTTCTCTTAGAGGTTAGTAAAATCAGAGAAGAAGAAAGCCAAGTGGTTTATTGGAGAAAACTGGTATACTGGAGACAACAACAACGATATTCAATCTATATGTATATAATCATTAACAGTTTTTACTTTATTAAAGAAAAAATGGTAATTTAATCTAAAGAGTCTGATTTATATGCACACAGGTGCCACTGATGGTTACAAATTTCAAAGTATCAAAAGTGTGCTGTAGACCAGTACTTCTCAAATTTAGTGTGCTTATGAGTCACCTGGGGATAGTATTAAAATGTAATCCTGGAGTGGGGTGTGGGATTCTGCATTTGCAACAAGCTCCCAGGTGACACTGATGCTACAGGTGGAGGATTACACATTAAGTACCGGTGGCTGCTTGGGAGGGGCTAGAGAAGGAAGATTCATAATGTCTTTACCTGTGAGACTGGCCAGTAGATGTTAGTCGACTGCGAATAGGCAAACTTTGTACCATTAAGTGGCCAGAGCAGCTGATTCTCCCCTAAGAAAATGAATAAGATTAAAATAAGAATTCTACATTTTTTTTCAAATTATATAAACTTTTCTGGACATGAACATTATGAAACTAACTATTATAAGTTTTCTTTGGGGGGATAAAATATAATATGACTCCTTAAATCATTGTTCATATTCCAGGGGGAGGGATTTTTAAGAACATTTTGATGACTTCCATTTTTAAGTTGCGAAATAAACAGAGCACAAATTAAAAAAATGAATTCTTGTGCATTTAACATTATCTGCAGCCACACACAGAGATCATGGCCAACTGTTCTTATACTTCCCTCATTAAAGATTACCTTCAAAACTAATATTTTAATATAAAGAGTGGGTGAGAATAGAAATTCCTATCCTAATGGTAGTTGAACATATTTATTCAGCCATATCTTTTAGGAAAAGTTTAAGTCAATCTTATTCAGAAAAGGAAAGCAAAATATTACGGCCTTCTAATTTTTACCCCCCAAAAAAGGAGATTATGAGTTTGAGAGATATTCACAAGACTTTGTGAAGTAATTTGCTTTTTCTCTAAATAACAAAAACAAAAAATTCTTTGATAGATTATTTGACTCTTCAAGAGATTCAATGAGTTGATATACACAAAAGTAAGCCCAATAGGTCTGGGATGTGTTCATAGTGAATAGATATCACTAATGCCCTTTGACAAAGGCTGAGGGGTTGAGGGACCCATCAGTGGCTAACTGGTCTTCTAAGTTGTGATACTGTGCTGTAGTTACACACAATCACAATGCTTCTCATTCATTTTCCTCAGCAATCCTTAGTAACTCGCACTTCTCAAGTTATCATTTATGACTTCAACTGCGCCTTCCTCGGCCTGCAGCACAGCTCTGCATCTCCACCTGGGGGTTGGCAGCCATGATGGTGTAGTTGCCATCGTCATCACTGGTGGTGGACTCGATGTGCAGAGAACATGTCCCGTCTCCTTCTCGCTTCATTTTGCAGTGCTCGTTTCTCTTGGAAATCTGCTTCCCATCTTTGAACCAGTAGACCTGAAATGAAAGATAATCAAGGAGGAAATACATTGTTCTGTACATCTTTAAGGAGTAATGAAGTAGGGAGTAGGGTGAGGCAAGGGCTGATTCCCATCTTTATAAGTGACATCTCTTACAAAACACTTAGAAAAATTATAAAACATATTAAAAACAGTGTGATATGCTCCTGCACTTATACAATACTTAAGTTAAAAATTCTATATAATTTAGGATAGAGATAAAGCTTTTGACTATTTTTATTGTACTTCATAATTACTTTAAAAGTTACCTTAAGAACCAGACGTGTTTTCAGAGGCAAAATAAAGAAAACCAGGAGCCTGAATCTTTTCCCATTATCCTATTCCCATTATCCTATCCCATTACAGGCTCAAGTCTTCTGCAGTTGCAGATCTCAGGGCCTGGAATAGCTCACCTTGCTTGAAAGGATAGTGCAGTTTCTTATGCCAAGTAGAATGAGGCCAGGATTCACTCACTAAATTTCTCATCTGGCTAAAATTTGAATATATACATATATATTTCTCAGGTTAAATTCTGTATGTATCAAGGAGCTCTCTCAAAGAGGGGTAGGAGTGGGATTAATTACAGGTTGCAGCTGCCCTCCTCTACATTTCCTGGTAACCTAACCATACATGCCAATGCCATGCTAATTAACCTTTGTGAAAGAAGAGTGGAGAGATCCCTTGCCGCAGCCATACTGGGTGTAAATCCTTCTCTCAGCTGACTGCCAAAAAATCTGATGACTCATAAAATTTTTCAGCAGCCAGTGATAATGATATGACATTTTTAGCATTTACCAACCTAACAGTAATGATACAAATATAGCTCACTTTGTACAACAACAGGCACACTGTGGATATTCAATAAGTATTAAAACAAATATATCAATTTGGCGAGAGTGATGGTTGAGAGACTCAATAGCCCAAAACAGAGGATCATGACTAAGAAGATTACTTTAAAATTTTAATAAAATTCTAATTTACCCATAAGTCTGATTTATTTTTGGCCTACTTAACAATCCTATTCCTGACTGCCTCTTTTAGTCAAATTACTGGATTTTGTTAACTTTCTGGTATTGTTTCTTTAAAAAAATATGTGTTTTTTAATTGATTTCAGAGAGGAAGGGAGAGGGAGAGAGAAAAATAGAAACATCAATGAGAGAGAGAATCATTGATTGGCTGCCTCCTGCACACCCCACGACCCAGACATATGCCCTGATGGAGAACCAAACCCTGACCTCCTAGGTTTATAGGTCGATGCTCAACCACTGAGCCACGCTGGCCAGGTTTGGGCTTTTTTTCCCCCTCATTTTTATTTTTATTGATTTTAAAGAGAGGGAGGAAGGGGGAAGGAGGAGGAGAAAAAGGAGAGAGAGAGAAAGAGAAAGAGAGAGAGAGAGAGAGAGAGAGAGAGAGAGAGAGAGAGAGAGAGAGACATTGAATTTATGGCTCCACTTATTTATGCATTCATTGGTTACTTCCTATATGTACCCTGACCAGGAATCAATCTGCAACCTTGGCTATTGCGACGACACGCTAACCAACTGAGCTATGCAGTCAGGGCTCTGATATTGATTTTTATTCCCCTAGTAGATATTTCACTGGAGTCTGCTAAAACTTTCTTAAGGTAATGTCTGCATTTCTGTGTTGTTGCTTTGCCAACTGGTAGTCATCTTCCCTTACCTTTGGGATAGGTATTCCAACAATTTTGCAGGTGAATGTGACTGGAGAGCCTTCTGTGACTCGAAAGTGCTTGAGTCTTTTGTCAAAGATGGGAGCAATACACTTGCCCGTGGGGATCTCATCATGTTGGATTTCATCATCGGACTCATCCACAGGGGTACGTTCCAAGCGAAATTCTATTTCATTCATCAGTCTCTGCTCAAAGCTTGAAATTTTGTACTCCTGTCAAAATGGCAAACATGCTTCAATTTCAATTTCTATGGGTGAGGTAGAAGGTGTCATTATAATTTGAAGGAGCAACATTTCAAGGTTCAGATGTTAGATTTATATCATGGAACCCCAATAAACCAGGCATGTACCATTCCCAGTTCCTCACCATGAGCACTAAAGGAGATTTCAATATCTCTACTATAATCCCAAACTGCCTTAGTGAATCCCGATTCCTCACCTTGAGCATGGAGCCCCAGTAGAATCCTGTAGGGAATGGAATGAAGATGGAATGTAATTTCCACAACTACTATTAATGTCCATTTCAATATGTAGAACTGCCTATCCAGTATTTTGGCTAAGCTTTTCTGAATTGCATTCTGATGCATGTCTGCATTACCAATGTCCTGATTCTACTGGACATTCCCATCTGCATAGTTGAGGAAAATCTGTATCGAATAAATCTTCCTTGATTTCACATAGGTCTTCATTGCATCTCTCTGCTCCCTTCACAACAAAACTACTTGAAACAATTTTATGTTGTTACAGGATAATTTCCATACCACTTAGTCTCTTGTTAACCTACTCCAGTAAGGATTGTGTTCTCACTGTTCCACTGAAATTACTATTGTTAGGGTCTCCAAATTTGCCATATCCAGTTGTCACTTATCTATTCTTACCTTACCAGACCTCTTAGCAGCATTAGATACAGATGGCTACTTACTCCTTTATGAAACATTTTCTTCTGTTGGTTTTAATGACACCATACTGGTTTTCCTTCTCTTTCTCTGGCTGCTCCTTATCAGTCTTCTTTTCTAGCTCCGAATCCTAGATAGGTTATCTCATCCAATCGCACAGCTTCAGATACCTTCTGTATGCTGATAGCTCCAAGTCTTATCTCCAAGCCTGGTCTTTCCCCAGAACTCATATACCTAATGATCTACTCTGTATCATGAGAGTATTATACCCAACAATTTACTCTGCATCATGGCTTGGGTGCCCAATGGGCATCTCTAACTGAGCATGGTCCAAAACGGGCCCACTTGCTTTCCATCCCCCAAGAGACACTCCTGCCCTGCTTTTTCTCATCTCAGGAAATATCATCTTGAGTCATCCACTTGGTTAAGTGGTTAAAAGCCAGAGTTTCCCCACATTGTCTTTTCCCCACATTTCTAAAAATGTCCAACCAGTACTTCTGTAAAAATGAGTTACTAGAAAAATGAAAATTTAAAAGCATTCAAAATTATTATGTTTAATAGACATAAAATTTCTCTGTCAAGTTACTATCAAAATTTCTTAATGGTTACTCTCCATTTCTGTACTTATCCCAAGGTGGAGAGGGGACAGCTTGCAGATTGCCGCAGGTTTTCAGACCACCCTTTGAGTACCCACTTAAACCGTAAATCTAGTACTTATCCTGAATTCCTTTCACTCACTCTCCCTGTCATATTCTATCAAGCTTAAATGTCAACTCCCTAAAGCAGTCTTCCCAGGCCACGTCATCTAAAGCAGCGGTTCTCAACCTGTGGGTCGCGACCCCTTTGGGGGTCGAATGGCCCTTTCACAGGGGTCGCCTAAGACCATCGGAAAACGCATATATAATTACATATTGTTTTTGTGATTAATCACTATGCTTTAATTATGTTCAATTTGTAACAATGAAAATACATCCTGCATATCAGATATTTGCATTACGATTCATAACAGTAGCAAAATTACAGTGATAAAGTAGCAACGAAAATAATTTTATGGTTGAGGGTCACCACAACATGAGGAACTGTATTAAAAGGTCGCGGCATTAGGAAGGTTGAGAACCACTGATCTAAAGTAATTCGCCAGCCTGGCCAGTGTGGCTCAGTGGTTGAGCATTGACCCATGAACCAGGAGGTAACCAGTTCAATTCCCGGTGATGCCCAGTGCGGGTGTGCAGGAGACAGCTGATGGATGTTTCTATCTCTTTTTTCCTCTCCCTTCCTCTCTATCTAAAAGTCAGGGAAAGCATATTTTAAAAAATAAAATAACTCTGCACTCCAATTTCCTAATACCAGTTGCTATCTAGTATTTTTCTTGTTTGCTTGTTTCTTGATTGAAAGATTAAATATCTCTAAGCACTGGAATGTTACTTTCATAAGAGCAGAGATCTTGTTTATCTTGCTTCCCACTAAATCAACAGCACCTAAATAGTGAATGCCTGCCTTATGGCAAGTACTCAGTGAGTATCTTAAGAATGAGTGAATACATGAATGACATGGGGACAAGCACATGTTCCAACTCTACCACATCTTTGAGGAATCCGGAATTTGTTTTGATGATTTTTATCAAGATGGGGCCTGATTTTACAGAATTTAAGATGTTTGAATTGATTTAACACAAGGGACTACAGAAGCAATATGATGAACATATGCATATTTTGTTATACTGTAAATGTATACATACTGGTTAAATATTTATTGTTTTACCAATACTACAAATCGGGAGGATGATGAGAATAGAACACTCAGTGAATTATTTTTAAAATATTAAAAGAATTGTGCCGGAACCGGTTTGGCTCAGTGGATAGAGCGTTGGCCTGCGGACTGAAAGATCCCAGGTTCGATTCCGGTCAAGGGCATGTACCTGGGTTGCGGGCACATCCCCAGTAGGAGATGTGCAGGAGGCAGCTGATCGATGTTTCTCTCTCATCGATGTTTCTAACTCTCTCTCTCTCTCCCTTCCTCTCTGTAAAAAATCAATAAAATATATTTTAAAAAAATATTAAAAGAATTGAGAGCCCAGAAATAAACCCACATGTATATGGGCAAATAATTTGTGCTAAAGGAGCCAAAAATATACAGTGGAGAAAAGAAGCCTCTTCAATAAATGACGCTGGGAAAATTGGAAAGCCATATGCAAAAGAATAAAATTAGACTGCTATTTGTCACCATACATAAAAATTAACTCAAAATGAACCAATAACCTAAATATTAGACCTGAAATAATAAATTACATAGAAGAAAACATAGGTACTAAACTAATGAACCTTGGTTTTAGAGAGTATCTTATTAATTTGACCTCAAAGGCAAAGGAAGTAAAAGCAAAAATAAGTAAGTGAGACTATATTAGACTAAAAAGCTTCCACACAGCAAAAGAAACCAACAACAAACAAAAAGGCAACCAACAAAATGGCAGAAGATATGTGTAAACAACACCTCTGATAAAGGGTTAATATCCAAAATATATAAATAACTCATACAACTCAATAACAAAAAACAAACAATCCAATTAAAAATTGGGCAGAGGACCTGTATGGACACTTCTCCCAAGAAGACATACAAATGGCCCACAGATATGAGAAGATGCTCTTCACTAGCTATTAGGGAAATGCAAATCCAACTACAATAAGATGCCATCCCTCACCTGTTAGAATGGCTATGATCAACAAGATAAGTAATAATAACTGTTTGAGAGGTTGTGGAGAAAAAGGAACCCTCATTCACTGTTGGTGGGTATGTAAACTGGTACAGCCACTATGGAAAACAGTATAGACATTCCTCAAAAAATTACGGATAGAGTTATCATATGACCCAGCAATCCCTCTTCTGGGTATCTATCTGAAAAATTTGAAAACATTTGTTCACATGTTCATTATAACATTATTCACAGTGGCCAAGACATGGAAACAACTGAAGTGTCTTTCAATAGAGGATTGGACAAAGATGTGGTACATACATATATACAATGGAATTCTACTCAGCCATATGAAAAGATGGGACCCATTTGTGACAACATGGGTGGATCTTGAGAATATCGTGTTAAGCGAAATAAGTCAGAAGGAAAACGTCAATAACCATAGGATTTTACTTATATTTGGGAATTAATACTGAAAGCAACAAATGAACAAAAAGGTAAACAAACAAACAAAAACTCCTAGATGCAGACAACAGTGGTAACCAGAGGGAAGGGCAGTTGGGGGTGAGGTAGGAAAGGGTAACGGGGGTCAAATATATGGTGACGGAAGAAGACTTGACTTTGGGTGGTGAACACATAATACAGTATACACATGTTGTATTATAGAATTGCACATTTGAAACTATATAATTTTGTTAACCAATGCCACCCCAATAACTTTAATTAAAATACTATTTGTAACTATGGAGCATATAGTTGTAAGCAGATTTTAGCTGGAAGTTTCTACTGGGGCACCAAGATGGGCTACATATCAGAAAACAAGTGAGTTGGGAGACAAACTATTTTCCAGAAATTTCAAAGCTGGTGGTTAAGGATAGGTTGGATGATTTAAAGCCTTCACTTCCATCAGAGATACAAGAATCAGGAGGGAGAAGATCCAGTGAGAGGACTTTGGAGAGAGTTATTAATGTCTGTGAGTGTCCTACCTCTACCTCCAGCCCCTGGGGACCTCCCTTTCACCTGAAGTCTAGCCAGGTCTCGTTCCTGCCTAAGAAATCTGGAGTGAAGAGTGAGGTGGACTTTTGTTGGTGGCCAAGCTCAAGGCAGCTTTGAGTGGCCTGCACTCCTGCATTGTTCCAGGGCAGAGGACTGTGATGGCTCTCGTCATGCACATGTGACTCACACACGACACAAAGCCAGTGTGAGGTCAGCTTTTGTCCCTCCATGGTTGGGAAAGGAAGGAGTCAGAAATAGCAGTTGGAGAAGTGGGGCAAGAGGGGGCAAAAAAAGAGCGAAGCTGGCCATGGTTCCCTTCCTGGCTATTTAGGTCCATATCTTGCAGAAGTCCCTGGTGAAGGAGGGGGTTTGTGTGTGGGTGTTAGTTTTCATTAAGGATTGGAGTGTTGGTTACTACCAGGACTGGACATTTTGTATGACTGGATCAAGATTGTATTTTTGCAACACAGTGACCAGAGAACCTTATATGAATGAAAAGTGGTCACAATGATTTTGAGATAACTTCACATTTGAGATTGCCAGGAGCAGAAGAATTAGCCCATTAGATGAATTTATAAGGATATGGAGAGAGAAAAAATTCTTTTTAGACATACCTGCTTAATGTACCACTT